TAAATAAATAATAAAAAATGTTAATTGGTGGTTTCTGGATCCTGAGAGTAATGTGTTTTGGTTAAAAGCTGGGGGGAAAAATTTTTTTTGATTGAATCACATAATCTCCAGGGAGAAACCCTGATAGCGATGTACAGTATTGGATGTCCTTGTTAGCCAAAGAAAAGTGGGAATGAGGAAAAACCTGGTTCTGTGACTCTTCTTAAAATAGCGTCCAAAACTGCATAGTAAAAAATTTTTTAAGTTTTGATTGGACCTTTCCTTGAAAAACGAAACTAAAAATTGTGAAGATAAGTTTATATTATCCTCCATTTAACAGCTTTTGTAACATTGTGATTATAACTGTCAAGGGTATCTTTGACCCAAAGCCAGCGCTCACTTGCTTTATTAGCATCTGTAAAATACCAGTGCGTCCATTTCTGAAACAAAAGAAGGCACTGCGTGCTGGATGGGCAGCGTGTGGAGGTGAACATCCCTCCTGTGTCATAAAGTAGTATTTTCTTGGCTTTATAGTTTGCCTTTTTTTAAGCACAGTCCCCGAAAGGTCTTCTTTACAATGGTAGGGTTTGCCCAAGGGCTCCCTGGATACTTTTATTTAAATCCTCATCTTCGGAAGCAGCTTACTGAGTTATCATCCGGGGGAATTTGTGGTTTCTCCAGCAGGTAACTGACCCATCGCTGCCAGATCCAGGCTTATCAGTTTTCCAACACGACGTTCATTGATTTCATGGAAGTCTGGGTCTTTTTCAGCAAGGGTGTAGTTTTATGCGGTGGTACATTTGCCCTGTACGTGAATTGGGTGATCAGATGTCTACACTGGCTGGCAGGCAGGGACACGGGAGAGACAGCTCGTTCACTGGCCCGCATTCCCGACGGCTGAGAGCTGTAATCCTGAGTTTTACAACAACGCTAAAGTCAAGTTCTCCAGGGACATGGCAGGCACCAGAGCCAAGGAGAAGCCTGGTCCCTGGATCGCCCCCATATACCTCCTGGTGGGCACCAGGTGCCTGGCAGAGGTAAGACACAACCCCCAAAGCAGGGGGACAGCTGAGTTTTGTCACTTCTCCCAGACTCATTTTTTTAAGCTTCTCTGGGTCTCTCTGTGCCTACAGCGTGCCCACCTAACTACTAGCGGGGTACGTGGCTCCTTCCCTACCCTGGTATTTAAGGTTATACCTGGGCCTGATCTGAAACCAGAACAAAGTGGGTGCAGATGCTTCTTCGAGGGCAAGAACTCCCCTGATGGGGGAGCCATACAGGTTTTATAAGAGACAATTAAGAAAGTTTCCTCTTGCCCTGACCAGTTTGGCTCAGTGGATAGAGCGTCGGCCTGCGGACTGAGGGGTCCCAGGTTCAATTCCAGTCAAGGGTATGTACCTTGGTTGCGGGCACATTCCCAGTAGGGGGTGTGCAGGAGGCAGCTGATCGATGGTGTTTCTCTCTCATCAATGTTTCTACCTCTCTATCCCTCTCCTTTTAAAATATATATATTTTTTAAAGTTTCCTCTTGGCTAGTATGGATTTAAACGAGCGATCTTAGCAGGTGAGTGTCGCCTCTCCCCACCTGGTAGCACATGCCCAGCGCGTTCCAGTGGCTCTCATTCCCAAGCTGCGTCTGTAACGTGTATTCTCTGAGGTCAGATTCATCAGAGGCGGAACCTGAGATGGGGATTCCTGCCGGTGATTTATTGGGGTAATGCTCTTGGGAGAAGAGAAATAACGGGCAAAGGAAGGAGCCAAACGGGTCTGTACACTTGGCCGGCCGGAGTCTGCCTGGCCAGTTCCCGCAGGGACTCTGGATCATGAGTTGCACGACACAGCTGGTCCCACCTGGAGGCGGGGGGGCGGCCTTTTGCACCGTGTCAGTCAGAGGCGGCAGAATGCTTGTGGGGGAGGGTGTCATAACCTCCCAGACAGAACTGTAGTCGGAGAGCAGGGCTTAGAATGAAAGAGCCTTTTGGTCAGGGCGGCTCCGGTAGCCACAGGGCGCTGGACTGGCGCTGACAGGTGGCAGGAGGGTGCTCCATGGCAACCAGTCTGCAGCCTCATCCAGGGGCAGGAGCCAGCCGCTGAGCGCGCTCATTCCTAGAGATGTCTTTGCTTTTCGCCCTTTCTGCTCATCGCCACCAAGATCCATCTAAAATTCTGTAATTTCTATTCGACTGCGAGGAAGAGAGACTCGGACGAGTACAGCCAATGCTGGTTTAAAGGTTATGTTCTCGTATTTTGGAATTAGCAGGAATGAGGTCATTCAGCAGCTCTTGACTAATCCGGAGCCGCCTCAGGCAAAGCTAAGCAAACCGAGGTCCCGTCAAGTTCCAGCGTAAATGTTTGGAGGCGCAGTCACTGCTTCACACACACATGCACACGCTGAAGACGTCTTCGGGGCAGCACATCGTCAGAGCAGACAGGCCTTCGACTTACATTGAAAACCTCTCTCCTGGCGAGCGCTGGAGCGTCACAGAAGGCGTCTGGAGGGGTTGAGTAATCACGTAATTTATATTTATGCCGGGACGCTCTTGAGAGTAATTACACCCAGATGACAGACATGAACCAGGACTGTCCCAGGGAGACCGAGAGCGAAGGTCACCCTGGACTGGGCTTGCTGCCTCTGAGGCCCACAAGCCAATTAGCTGGAATTTAGAGGAGCTTTTAGTTGGGCCCGTTGTGGGCACTGCTTCTGGGGTGAGGAGCATGAGGAAGAGGATGGTGACCAAAGGCCACCCACGGGGAACCATCAGACCCGTCTTTGGGATACGCAGGTCTTGAGACAACATTTGAGAAATTACTCTCTGGTTTTTCTTATTGAAATTGCCAACACACGTCCCCTGGGTGCCGAGGGCAGCCCCTCGCACTGCCATGTAAATGTCTGCTTCTCTGCTGGGAGGACGTCCCCTTCTAGTCCCCGAGCTCTTCAAGTTCAAGGACTGACATCCGTCACGATCCTGGTAGCGGATAGGATGGCTCAGCTCCCCAGGGATGCTCAGGGCCCATTCTGAACCCTGCACCGTAACCATATTCTGTATGTGAACCCACCACCCCGAGTGTTTGGGGGCCGGGACGGGTGAAGAAAACCTTGGAGTAGGGCCGAGGAACAGCCTCCACAGAGTGTGGAAATGGTCCCGGCCGGGTCAGGGTGTTTGTAGAACAGCAATGTAGGTGCTCCGTGGGGCAGGGGGACAGTGACAGGAATATGGGTCCAAATGGGTTTAAGCTCCATTCTGTTTGCAGTGGAGAGAGGCATGTTTTAAGAAGGCCCCTCGAGCAGCCGGTAGGATGGACCAACGAAAGGAAAGCCCCTGGCAGTGGCTCCCAAGCACCGTGCAGCAGGCTCACCCACGTTATCACTTAACATTCATGGAACATGCTTTTCCCAGGCCCCACTGTCTCGGAATCTACTCAGTTGTCCACGCAGAGGCGACTGGGATGGAACCCGGGAATCTGTATTTTTAAAGATGCTCCCAAGCGGATTCTAACGCACGGGGTCCCGAGTCCGTGGGAGAAACGCTCGCCAAGGTCCCTGAGAGCCATTAGAAAACGTATAATCCCCGACGTCGGTAATCCCCAAGATTGGATGCTAAAGAGATAGAGTTGCCTTTGCTATTTCTGTGTCTCCTGTTTTTCACTTCACTGTATTTTGGAGGGATTTTTGTTTCGTTGCTATTTTTTTTTTAAGTTTTATTGCTGTTTAACAAACAGACCAAATTGCACAAATCATTAAGTGCCCAGCTCATCGAATTTCACAACGATCACACCCAGGAATATTCCCAGCACCCACGCAGCCCCTTCCACTTACTGCCTCCCCGGTTGCTATCTTGACTTCTAAGCCCATGGATTGGTTATCTTTTAGCATTTGTACTTTTTGTGTGTTTGATAATGTTCTTGATATATAAGTATGGCAGTATAGGTTTATAATTTATAACTGAATAGGTCTGTTATAGTAAGTGCTCACTTTTTTCCCCCTGATTGGACACAACAGGAAATGTTGGTCGTACTTGTCTAAAGGCCTGGAACAGCTGGTCTGAGCTGAGGAGGGGGGTCTGGGAAACTGGAGCAGGAAGCACGGGCATTTCAGAGCTGGATCCACAGGGATTGGTTCCTTTTGTCCATTGGTTCCTTTTGTCAATTGGTTCCATTGTGTGGAACAGGGAAGGAGACAGGTTTTAGCATGACCTTGGGGAGGTCACACGGCCCCATTGAATTTCAGTGTCCAGCTTCTGGACCCTCAGCAAGTGCTAGTTCTGCCCTGTGTCTCCCCTTCTCCAAAATCTGCAAACATACCAACTCCCCTTGGGAGTCCTGATTTGCTGCAGTGACCTGGAGAAGCAGGGAGGGTATGGAGAGCCTCCTGGCTTTCCTCTGGACTTGGTTGGAAACCATGTGTTCCAGTGGGAAAAGCGGCTCCCTGTGCCCTCCCCTGGTTCTCCGGCCGCCACATGAAGAGTCCATGGCGGTTGGGCTAACCTGTCCTTGCCCTTGACCCACCCCAGGGAGGCTTGTAGGGGAGCAGGTCAGCTCTTCTCACTTCTCTGGCTGTCGAAAGAATCCCTATATTTTCGTGGGTGTCATTTTCTTAGAGTTTGACTTTCCTACACCAGCAAGGTCTTGAAAGGCAGGATTAGGGCCTGGGCTTAGGAGAAAGGGGCCAGAAAGACAACGGGGCTGCCTTTTCATCCAAAGCAGAGGAGGTGTCCAGCTCACATGTGGCCCCATCCCGTGTCCCAGGAGAGCACGGGGGTTCAGAGCCCATGTGTTAGCGGAGAATGAAGAGTGGTTCTGTCCCCTGCACCTGTCCTCCCAGGGAACCAACGGAAGGGTGGGCACCTGGGACTCGTGCTGGTCAGCGGCTCCTCGTCCCCCCCGCCCACAGCCCACAATGGCTGTTGTCTGGGAACTAAAGACGGACCCTGTCTGCCGAAGTCTCCATCTGCCTCCCCGAGGCCATGTCCACATCTGTCTTGTGCAGCCGGCCCATCTGTTGGTGTTTTTCTCTCTTTCAGGAGGAAATGGGCATTTCCTGTGAACTGCTGGAATCGGACTTCCTCAAATGCAGCGTGGGATTCCCTTTCATGAGGTCCAAGTCGAAGGTAAGGGGCGGAGTGGGGCACTTCACCAGCCCCTGACTCCGCCAGCTGCCTCCTCCGGGGTTTCCTCCTGCAGGAGCTGGGGTATGGTAACCCTCTTGTCCATGGCAGTCTACTCCAGAGGGGCCATGGTCACGTGGTCTTTCTCTTTGACCCACATGATATGCCCCAAATGTGAGAGACACAGCATGGTCTTAGCAGTTTGGCAGGCAGCATCTGGTTGGCCTCCTTGAAATGATTTTTTTTCTGGGACATTGCAGCCACTTTGAGACCCAGAGGCAACATTGGAGACGATGTGGGTGGTCTGGTCTAGTGACCCACAGTCCTGACTCCCCTGGGCCCTCACAGTTTTCTTAATAGACTTCTTAAAATGCTTAAAACATAAATAATTGTATTGCACTTCACTTTTTTAAGTAAAAGAAATGACAGCCATTTAGATATTTATAAGGAGCCGCATTTTCTAAGCTCAAGCAATACCATGGCACAGCATATTCAGACACTCACGGGGCATTCTCACATGAGCCATCATTATAAGGAGATGCAGAAAGGCATACATAGAAGATGCGATTTTTGGAGACAAAACTAGAATTTAAAAGACCAGGTCTGCCTTACGAAATGGAAGCTATGTTTCCTGCTGTGATTTGAAGAAAAGGTCATCTTCCTTTGTCTACCTCTCCCCCCCTAGAATAAATGAAAGCTTGACCCTTCTCTCCTACCTATGTCATAGAATCAAATCATTTTAATTCCTAAGACTTTCTGGCCCCAGTACATGGTAGCTGTTTAGTAAACCAATTTTGGAAATGTTCTAGTGAGAAAGATTTGCTTATTTCTTTAAAATCATTGAACCCATCGGCCTCATTGGAAGAACCTGCTCCAAAAGTCTGTAACTCTTACCAATACATCCGTGATTGCTGAGCCTTTTTGTGGTTCTCTTTCTCAGCTGCCCACATGCATCCCAGGAGGAGGGAAATGTGAAGGTGGCTGGTCTTAGAAAAGGGGTTACTAGTAGCTGGAAGAATAGAGGCCACATTCTGTTAGACTCTAAGTCGGATGAGGAAGGAGCACCCTGAACCGTGGAAATCAATATAATGGCCCAATGTCCAATAGTAATGTATGTGGCACATCACTCACAAATTTAATGGAAATCTATTGAGCAATAGAAAACAGACAATTGGAAGATTTTTTTCACAGTTGCCAATTTATTGTGAAATTCAGTCTACATCCCAAATCAAACCCAAGGTGTGCCTTCCTAGTTTTACTCTAAAGATTACCTTTAAAGGAGAATTGATATCTCTATCACAAGTAGACCCAGGATCACTTGCCATAAAGAGAAGGTCATCATAAAAATGAAAACAAGGTGATATGGAAATCTGGGGCATTAAATTTTGTCAAAATTCATTAATTTTCAAAATAGTTATGGAACCAACAGAAGTATGAACGTTGGAATATTGACTTTTTTCCCTACGTGGGGATGCACTGCCATCCTCCCACATACAGAGGTTAAGACCTGTGGCAAGGGTAAACATAGAGTCAGGGATCTGGGGGAAAGTCCCTGGAAAAAGCTCAAGAAGTGACTCGGCAGGAACACGGGCTCCCTCTGTCCACAGCCTGGCTTGCCCTTCCTGATCCCACAGACCCTGTGGTCACTGGGCTCCAGACCATCAGCCAAGAAGCATCATGACTGCACAGCTGGCTTACTCTGCTTAGCTGTGTCTCTGACCTGTTCTCCCAGGCCTCCGTCTCTGATTTTGGCTTCTTGCCCAGGTCTTTTGCTTCTCACCTCACCTTGATGTCCAGTGTGTTCACATCTCCTGCCAGTTCTGACTCTTTGCTGGGATGAGACCCTTGACTTTCCTTCCTTTGTGTCGTCCAGCTTTGCTTCCTGTCCTGACCCCTGTCAGCTGACAAGTCCCACAGCAGCACAAATGTCTGTCTAGATAGGGATGCTCAGTGGCCACTGTAGATGATGGTCCCATGTAACCGTCCAAGGTCCGGTCCCTTCAGGCAGCATTCAGTTTAGTTACTAGTGGTTCTCAATCTTCCTAATGCCACGACCCTTTAATACAGTTCCTCATGTTGTGGTGACCCCCAACCATAAAATTATTTTCGTTGCTACTTCATAACTGTAATGTTGCTACTGTTATGAATCGTAATGTAAATATCTGATATGCTATATGTGTTTTCCGATGGTCGCGACCCACAGGTTGAGCCCAGTCTTGCAATGTTAGACCATAGCCTAGAATTAGTCATCAAGGAACCTAACCATTTAGATACTAAATAGGTCATAGACTCACAGAGCTTAAAAGGAATTTAAGAATCATTTTGTCCACCCTCTTCTTTTTATTGAAATGCAAATAAGTTAAGTGTCTTGGCGATGATCACATCATCAGTTTGTGATAGAGCCTGGTTCTCTAACCCCAACCCAAGAGTTCCTCCCACATTTCTACACATGCCTGATATATACATATGTGTGTGTGTAATGTATGTGCATGTGTGTGTGCGTGTGTATATATACAGATAGATAGATAGATAGATAGATAGATAGATAGATAGATAGATGATAGATAGATTGATTGTGAAAAGCATGTGCTTAGGGCAGTGTTCCCCAAATCACAGGATGCTTACCACTGGCGGTACCTGAGATGATTTTAGGTGATATATGGACATAGCACTAAACAACATGGACTCTTACAGTGAGAAAGTTATTACCTTTCAACGCTTTTTCAGTTCTGACCACATCCAGGATAAGGTCTACAATAGTGTAGCATACCTTTAGCACCTTGCTGTCACTTATTTATCTCCCTCTACCAAAATAGAGGAGACCTTAGCCTCGGAGCCTTCAGCAGGCAACAAAAGTCAGCATTGCTTTGTGTTCATTACACCTATTTGATGACTACCTTCTCTTTTGGGCAAGTGATCTTGGATTCCCGTCGGTGGTCGTGGTATACATTTTCCTTTGAAAATAGTCTTTAGACAAAGTGAGTGAGGTAATAAAAATATGAAGTAAATATCACAGGTGATAGGGTATGCAGATGTGGCCAAAAATTGGGAACATGGTGTGTGAGTGAAATTTAGAAAGTCCTGGTTTAAGAGACAAACATATCACTTCCTAAAGAGAATCTCTGTTGTTGAAAAGGACCGTGTGCCTCTTGGCAGAGTGTTTTTTACTGTTAAAGCTGTGTCTCAGGCTGATGATCAAAAAGATATGCATACAACCCTGGCCAGTGTGGCTCAGTTGGTTGAGCATTGTCCAATGTACTGAAAGATCACTGGTTTGATTCCCGGTCAGGGCACATACCCAAGTTCTGAGTCCAACCCCTGGTTGGGGTGGGTATGGGAAGCAATCGATCTCTGTTTCTCTCTTATCTCTCTCTCTTTCCCTCCTTCCCTCTCTCTCTAAAATAAATAAAAACATTAATAAAATATATGTGCATGCAAATAAAGCTTGAGTTTCCAGGGGCCATAAGTGGGGAAGGTTGTAGCTAACAGTTCCATTTGGAATGACTGTTGATGCCAAATGCCTCTCTTCTAGTATGAATTCAGCGTCATCTTTGATACGAGCCATCTGTCTGGAGAAGAAGAAGTTCTCAGCTTCATCATTACTGCTCAGAGGTAAGAGGGATTTCAACTTTGTTTTCCAAAGGTAAGTACTGCTGGAACCCGAAAAGACGAAGTTCTGGCCGTGCTGCGATGATGCCCAGGATGCTGAGGAGGAGGAGGAAATGGTTATGCTGTGATGAAGCCCCAAAGCGCTGGTGGAACCAGATCTGGGCCGGGGGGAAGGGCAGGAGGGGTTCTTGTCTAGTTCTGCTTGCACAGCTACCCTGTCCTTGGAGGACATCTAGGAGGGTCCTATGCATTCTCAGGTCACTCTTGGGTGATGCAAAGTCCTGCAGTCACTTCAGGTCTCCAAGCAAGTTCCCAAATCCATGACAACAGTGTGGAGGGACACTTGCCTTGGGGGCGCCATCTTGCTCTTACTGGCCCTCTCCCCTTTTCCTGGGCAGCTTCTGAGCCCTCCAGGCTCACAGCAGGGCTTGTGGGACAGGCAAGGCCTAGGGTAACAGGTGCTGTGAGCGCTCACTGGGCTCTGCAGGTGTTCAAAGCTGACTCTTACCCTTTGGAAAAGGGAAAACCCAGCCCAACCTCAGCCTGTAGGTGGCCAGAGATACCTTCCGCTTCTGCTGCTGAGTCTGCCCTCTGGGACGCCTTTTCACTCGGCAGATGTCTATCAAGCAAATATTTACCAAATATTAAGCTACTGTTTACCACATACAGCGCTAACTTACTAGATTCAAGAACACCTCCTTCTGTATAGCATGGGGAGACCCCCTAGCATCGGTAGCTTAACTATTAAAGATCAGATCTCCTAATTCTTTGAATCACAACTGTTAAGGAAGCTGTATTACCTGTTGCATACACAGCCGAATATTTCCAGACTTTGGTGCCGATCTGGTCTGACTGCCCCCGAGGGCACCCACAGCCCTCCACTTCCTGCCCTGGCGGAAAGCTCCTTAAAGCTCCTTATCTTGAAAGCTAGGATCCCGCCTTCTTCCTGTCACCACCCTTTGAAGGCCTCTTGCCCACGTGTGGATTCAGGAGGACACAATGTTGAGAGTAAACAGTTTCTCAAGAGCTCCCCTCTCAGCAGCCGCGCTTTGCCGCCCGCGGGGAAGCGTCCCAAGTCACGCGCTTGCAGGATGACTGGAAGCCTTTTGATGTCTGGCCTCTTTATCTCAACTTGTCAACTTAGCTCCGTCTGGAGCAGGCCCCTGGTGACAGACGACACTGCTGGGCCGGAGCTGCCAGCGGCCACAGGTGGCTGGACAAATGGCAGGGCAAGGGGTGGCGCTTCCAGCAGGAACTGATTCCGCAGACCTGGCAGGATGCTGGGGGAGGAGGGGCAGGCCCAGGGTTGCCACCCCATCCATCCGTGCGTGCGGGTCTCCTCTCTGGTCTGCCCATAGCAGTGACCCTCCGGCTTTCATTGCCCCGGGAAGGAAGGGCAAGGAAGTGAGGCACCTGCTGCTGCGTTTGCAAAGGGTGGTGGTTGCCCTCTGAGCGATGGGTGTCACCCCATAGGCGGAAGACAGATGAGGAGTCTGGGGTCAGGGTCGGGAGCGTCATTGTTTCAGAACAATAGGGGAGAGAGGGAGAGGGGATGTGAGCGCTATTTAAGTAGTGTTGCATTCAGCACTTGCTGGGTGGGAGAGGAAGGCAGTGGGGGAGCGGGAGGGCAGGGGGGAGGGGGAGGGGAGGCGGGAACTCTGCACATGGGCAGGGAACGGTGTGATGGGAGAAGTGCACGAACCTCAGCGGGTCTGGGAGACTCATGTCCACCCTGGAGGGTGAACTTGGCTTGCTGCCGGAGCCCCATACTCACGCCATGTGATAGAAACAACCATAAATGCCAGGTCCAGCGACATGCACCCAACAGCCATGCCTTTGACCAAGGTGGTCACTTCCCTGGAATAATCATCGCGATTCATATTTGAGATTTAATTAAATAGCAAAGGGGAACTAGGTCTTCTCTCGTCTTTTCCTCCTCTTCCTTCTTCCCCTTTCTCCCCCCAAACCTCCAGCCCTAGGATCAGGCAAGGGGATCCCAGTGGAAAAGCCCTGCTTGGGAAAGAGTCGGGCTGACCTGGTTTGCTTTGGGTCCCTGGGGCCGTTACCCAGTCTCTCTGCTCCTTACCTGTCCCAGGTGGGGAGTCCCTGGCACAGCAGCCACACAGCTGCTGCTCCCTTGCTTTTGCCTTTCCAGGATGACCTCACAAGAATCCCAGTCCCGTGTTTTCTCACCCCAAAGGGGATGCCTGTCTGTGGACACACTGTAGCCTCAAGCCCACAGCGGGAGCTCCCAGACCATTGCTGGTGACGGGGTTGGTTGGGGCCCCTCTCCTGGGCTTGCCTGTTCATGGAAAAAGGGCGCCGCCTCCAGGTGGGAAACGGCTGTGAAGTCTGGCACGTCCCTTCCTGGCTGCGGTGCCCTAACCTTGCTGGTCCGCTCTTCCTGGAACAAGCACCCATAGCAGTACTCACACTGCCAGTGCCCATCCATACCCCTCGGCACTCACCTGCTCCCGGCACCCGCCACCTGCCTGAGGCTTCCTCTTTCCGGAGCCCACTCACCTGTGAGCACAGGGAGGTGCCAGGGAGTTAATGGCCCCACTCCCCCTCCCCCAGCAGCAGCCGGTCTCAGGAGTCAGTGCAGGACCAGGGCCCAGCTCCCTGCCCTCCGCTGGGAAGACTGCCTCCCGGAGTTCCCCAGCCAGACCCACAGCCCTCACCTCCTGGGTCACATGCCTTCATTGTCTTCCTCCCCTGCCTTGTCTCTCTTCTCCACTCGTGTTTCCCGGGGTCCGTTCCCCACATCTTTGTGAGGGGAACACAACCGAGACAATAGGGTGCCCTGTGGCTCTGTACAGGGCCCAGAAACAGAGCTGAGGACGCATCAGGTGCAGAGCGGCCCTGGGGGGATGTAGATTGAGCTCTGCTACGGAGCACACGAGGCTGCTGCCCGAGGCCCGGTGCTGACCGCGTCCACTCTGCTCTTCCCGCACAGCGGCAACACGGAGCGCTCCGAGTCCCTGCACGACAACACCCTCACGCTGATGGTGCCGCTGATGCACGAAGTGGACACGTCCATCACGGGGTGAGTAGCCCAGGCCTGGGTGGCCAGATCACAGAGGTGCTTTGCAGGGGACACTGTGCCTGTCTTGAATTTGCACCTGTAGCCTGGAGTCAGTGGCCCTGCCACCTCCAGTCTCCCCCGCTCTGAAATGCAGGGTGAAGGCTCAGCTCCAGGGACTCATGCCCTCCTCCCTCCTCATTTTCCCCTCTTTCCCCACCACCCACCCACCCACCAGGTAGGTAACGCAAGAAGCTTGACGACAAGTTTAAGGCCCTTCATTTCTTTGAATGTCCTGTCCACCTCTTTATGCAGTATCCCAGCATCCACCCCTCCAGAGTGCCTCGTGGTAGCAGGCGGCATGGTTCCTGGGACTAACATCTCAGCCAGCGGCTGCGGGGCCAGCCAGAGGCTGCAGCCAGTGCTGTCCCAGTGCCTGGCTGGCTCGCAGTAGTGCTGGCTTTGTGTCTCTGTTAACCCCTCCTGCAGAGCCGGCAGCTCTGCCCAATGTCTGCTGGTCTGGAGTGGGCAGGGGACCCTCAGGATGGGCCCACCCCCCTGGCGGGGGGAGGCCATGCCATCCGTGTGCTGCTGGCACTGCTGGAAAGCAGGCCTGTGGCCCCAAAACAGCCCTGTCAATTACCAGCCAAAGCCCAGGCCTGGGAAGTGAGAACCCACTTCCTGTTTCAGGCTTCAGGTAACAGAGCACATAACCTCATGGATGGTGGGGAAAGCATTTGCATAATCATTTGGATCAAATGAGGATCCATGGAACCCTGTCCCCAATGCAAGCTGACCTTCTGGAAGTTCAGGGTTTCTCTCTTTTCAGTTTTCAAGTGCTCTGGGCCCCGGTGGCCAGCAGTAGAAACGCTAATGCGGCGCAGAAGGAGCCATCACCGCCATAGCGCACGCTGCCGGGTGCCCGGGAATGGGCAGGCCCGCGCTCCTGGCATGTTTCATCATGGGCTTCAGGCTTGAGGCACTGGTGGGATATATTTGCTCATTAGCGTGTAGATTTGCCTTTGTTCACGGCTCTGTATTTATCCAGGTAGTTTATTTACTTGTTTCATCAGAGGCACGGTGAGAATGTGCCCTGAACCCAGCCCTGTCCCCGGGGACCACAGAGAAAACACTGGCTCCCTTGATCCTGTTGTCTGATCCTGCTGTCGGGCCCTGGGCGGCCTCACCGGGAGGTGCGAACAGCCTCAGATGAAGCCATCGGTTAAACACATGGGTCAACCTCTGATCCCTCCAGGACCACAAAACAGGGCGAGCACAGGAACCAGTCCTGCCATTGGATAAGACATTTCTAAAGGAATGCACTTAAGTTGAAAATAGATGCATGGCTGTCCATGCAGACTTGGTACCCCAGACCTTACCTTGTTGGTGTTTAGGCCAGTGAGCAGCTTCTAGAATCTCATCTAGAACCCATTATTGGTCTGGAAATTTGAGTGACTCTAGGCTTCGTCTCATCTCGGACGTGTTGATACGGGCAGCGTGGAAAGCATGCTGCAAACTGAGCTTGCATGCTTCGTCACAACTCACACAGCCCCTGTGAGAAATCGGAAGAAAAATGCTGTCATCGAACAGCCTCCACTTTCAAGGCTGAATTTCTGATAATTTTGAATAGTTTGACACATTTACATTTTTTAAATGAATCTGTCACTGGGTGGAGTTTAGGATGCCAAATCTATAATTCACTTACGTTTATTTCCTAAAAGCTTGCCATGATCTTTCTCACTTTACAGGAAGTTTTCCAGGGACAAAACAGAACATGAATAATTTTGTAATCCAGTGTGTTTTTTTAAACCTGAAGTCAAAGCTACCAGAGCCTTCCTCATCATTTTAGAAATATAATCCCAGGACATACTTACATATGCAGCTTGTTGATTTGACCTACGGTGAGAAGTCACTGTTGGAAACGTCTGCTTAGAAAGCAGACGTCTGGCCGTGTCCATGAACGGGAGAGAGAAGTGCCAAGTCCAGAAGGAGAGCAATTGCTGGAAGGCACCAGGGACAGCCAGGTTCCCAAGCCAGATGGCTGGGTTCTCAGGACAGGGGTGACCTTGGGCGGCGTGACCACGGGCTGGGATGATGGATGTCGTGGTTTCCTCTTTCAGAATCGTGTCTCCAACCTCCTTTGTGTACGGCGAGTCTGTGGCCGCGGCCAACTTCATTCAGCTGGAGGACCTGCCGTGTCACTTCCAGCCCCTCAACGTCACCCTTCAGGTACCCACCCTTACAGACCGGCTCTGTCACGGGGACCCACGGGAGGGCCCCTGGGATGTATCCGCCGACAGGCAACTTGAGGGCCAGGCTCTTTCCAGGAGGCACCATTCCCAGCCTGGTGGGCTGGAGTGTGGTGTATGTGCGTTCGTGTTTTCTGCGAGCTCACACGGAATTCCTGCCTTCCCTGGCTGGTGCTCTGCTGTGTAGACCCCTTGCTTTCAACACTTTGAGGAAGATGTGCATGTGACAC